CTGACTTATATTCCAATTGATCATACATAAGATCAGCTCCAGACAATATAAACTTAATACGTTTAACTCAGCTAATTTTCTTTTAAAAAATATATTTTATTGATTTTTTTACAGGAAGGATGGGAGAGGGATAGAAAGTCAGAAACATTGATGAGAGACTAACATCAATTAGCTGCCTGCTGTACACCTCCTACTGGGGATGTGCCTGCAACCAAGGTACATGCCCTTGACCGGAGTTGAACCTGGAACCTTTCAGTGCACAGGCCAACACTCTATCTACTGAGCCTAACCAGTTTGAGCATCTCAACTAATTTTCTTATCCAACCAACATCTTCAACCTCTGTACTCTCAAGGAAAACTAACACTTTGAACATCAAGCCTGTGTAGTTCCCTCAGTCTCATATGCAATCAACAAACTGAGATCATGGCCTCTCCTTAAATATGTGTCCCTCTCTTTTTATAATTTATTTTCCATAAATTCAATATTTCTTGCCTTGGAATATTGAAAACATATCTGGTCTATTTAGTGCCTCCTAATTTCTGTCCATCCTCCAGAATAATCTCACTTAAATATAGTTGTATTGAACATTTAGAACTATTTATTTCTCAACACCTCCAACCCCAACAGTTATGTGCATCATGAGATTTAACAGCAACTGTTTGGAGTCTGTCTGAAGACCCATGTTGCCTACCATTCAAAGAGCACTGAACAATATTTAAGATCAAAGCTGACAGAGAGGAAGAATTTCTCAAATATTTTATTGAATTATTTTCCCAAATCTTATTCGTTCAATGTCATTCTCCTCTTAGCATATAATTTCTACATCTATTTGATGGAAGAAAGTAAAAAGAACTTCTTGGGAAAAGTTGCTACTATAAGGTTACAGCTTCTTATCCATTCTAAGTCTCAATCATCTAAGTTTCAAATTTTTATTACAGTCATTTTCTTTTCCTCCCTAACTATAAGAAAAAAGGTTTATTTAGAAATACACAGTGATAGAACGAGGTGAGCCAACTGGTCTGAATGGGCTCAGGAAACAAGTTAAAGGAACAAAAAAAGGGCCCCTGGAATTTAGGAGAAATAAGCAGAGGTAATGCACCACAGGAAGCAGTAAGGGAAAGATGCAGGTGTACTCCAGAGAGGTAGCACACTCCAGTCATTCCAACAGCTTTGTTTGGAAAGAGTTATGCCTGATCTCAACTGACCGGAAGAGAAGAGAGGAAATAAATACAATATATATTTGATCCTTATTCAAAATCAATTTCTTTAAGGTGAAATTTTTATTGTACCTTTTCTATGTGTAGATATATTTAGATGTACAAATACCACTGCGTTACAAATGCCTATAGTATTCAGTACAGTAACATGCTGTACAAGCTTGTAGCCTAGAAGCAATTGGCTATACCAAATAGCCCAGGTGTATAATAGGTTATGCTATCTAGATTTGTGTTAAGTACACTCTGTTTGCACACTGACAAAATCACCTAAGGACACATTACTCAGAATGTATCCCCATTATTAAGTGACATATATGACTGTATAGTTTTAGGAAATCCAGAATAATATTTTCCCTTAGGCTTCAGATTTGAAAAGAGAGCCTAGCACTAGACAACAGAGAGCCTCAAATGGTAAAGTAGGACATTTATACTTTTTATATTAGTATAGTTGTAATATCCCTTCATCATTAAAAAATTGAGTATACTCCTCACTATATGAATATTTATTCATTCATAAGTTATATACATGTGGAACAAATACATTCAATTTTACATATACTTCTCCAGAGAGACATTCAGAAAATACTTTCTAACTCATTTTATACTTTTGATACCTAAACCTCTCAAGAAAATATGAGAAAAGAAAATTATGGACCAATCTTGATCAAGAATATAAATGACAACATTTACTAGTAAATGAAATGTAATTGAACTAAATCTAGCAATGTATTTTAAAGAATGATAAGGTTCAATTAAACTCAGAAATGTAAATCTGGTTTAATATTAAGAAAATCAAGTAATATAATTTACTACATGAAAGGATTAAAAGAGAGAAACTATATCTGCAAGTCAATATATGTAAAAAATGAATAAAATTTAACAACCTACTGAGGACCAGAAAAAGAAAAACTAAATTCCTTTATGGCAAAATAGGAAAGGAACAGATTTTTTTTATTCTGCTGAAAATTATCCATAAACTACTCAAGGCAAACCTCATACTAAATACTCTGTTTCCCTGAAAATAAGACAGTGTATTATTTTAATTTTTTTCCCAAAGTTGTGCTAGGTCTTATTTTCAGGGGATGTCTTATCTTTCCATGTGCTAGGTCTTATTTTCGGAGGATGTCTTATTTTCGGGGAAACACGGGTAGTATTTTCTCTATATTATGAACCCGAATGTGCACTATTGCCTCATTTATTCAATAATATTCTAGGAGTTTTGGCTAGGGTTTTATTATGAGAAAAATACTATAGAAATGTAATTGTTGAAAGGAAAGACATAAAATTGCTGTTATCCTTAAGAGAAAAAAATATATAATGTAAAACTTCAGTAGGATTATAGTAGTTGAAATGGACTAGATTATTCTGTAATAACATAGAACCACACAATTACAGAAGCTTAAAAACAAAAAAGCTATATTTTACTCATAGTTCATGTCTAACAGGGGTGAGCCAGAACGTGCTTATTCATTTTCTCAGGGACCCCAGCTGCTGGTGACCCAATTGAGACACAAGCTTCCATACATGCTTTTCAAGATATTCTTGTTGTGAGAGTGAAAATGCAAATTGAAGTTGATCACCAACATTACATTTTATCCACCTACAAGTATCAAGTGTCACTTCCAGTCACATTTTATTTCATTGGTGAAGGCAAATCAAGAATATGCTTAACTGCAAATGGTGGAACCCTACCATGTTCCCATATTGAAAGTTTAGTAAACACCAATAATGGTTAACATTAGATTCTGCATGTCAAATATTATACCTAACAAGACTTGTGTTTAACAAAATTGGATATATATATATATATATATATATATATATATATATATATATATATATATATTGGGTCGGCAACTAGGTAATTGCGGATTTTTTAAAGAAAATCAAAGACAATTTTTTTCATGGAACTAAATAACTGTATTCTGTAATGTATTGCCCATTTTGATCAATGACCTTTTGCCATCTTTCAGGCAGCATCATAATCCCACGTTCAAAAAACTTCTGGTTTTTATTAGCAAAAAACTGAATCAGGTACGATTTGACATCATCATCATTATTGAAATTTTTACCATTCAAGGAGTTTTGTAAAGATCGAAACAAAAAGTAATCAGATGGTGCAAGGTCAGGACTATATGGTGGATGTGGCAAAACATCCCAACCAAGCTCCATTAATTTTTGCCGAGTGACCAAAGATGTGTGTGGCCTTGCATTGTCATGATGGAATACAACACCTTTTTGATTTGTCAATTCGGGCCGCTTTTCTTCAACTGCATTGTTTAATTTCGTTAGTTGTTCAATGTAGACATCAGAATTGATCGTTCGGTGGGTGGTAAGAGTTCAAAGTAGACAATTCCTTTGTAATCCCACCAAACTGATAACAAAACCTTCTTTTGATGAATATCAGCTTTTGATGTTGTTTGAGTTGGTTCACCTGGCCTGCTCCACGATCTTTTCCGCTTGATATTGTTGTAAACAACCCATTTTTCATCGCCAGTTATCAGTCGTTTTAAAAATGGATCATTTTCATTACGTTTCTTTAGCAAATCGCAGCTGCTAATGCGTTGCGTTAACTGTGATTCTTTCAGTTCGTGAGGAACCCATATATCGAGTTTTTGAACATAGCCAAGTTGTTTTAAGTGATTTTCAATGCATGTACTATATGTGATACATGAAGCTTCTCTGCAATCTCACGTGTTGTACTGTGACAGTCCGAATTGATTATTGCTTTGATTAGGGCGTCATCAACTTCAACTGGACGACCAGAGCGTTTTTCATCTTTGAGTAAAAAATCACCAGAACGAAATTTGGCAAACCAATTTTGACACTGCCGTTCTTTTAAGGCTTTGTCACCATAAACAGCACATAACTTTTTATGAGCTTGCGATGCGTTTTTCCCTTTGCAGAAATAAAAAAGCAAAATATGACGAAAATGTTCCTTTTGATTTTCCATTTTTCAACGAACGCCAAACGAAAACTACAAAACAGATCAAAAAACTTTTTTTACTGATTAACAGCTGAATAGCCAACTATCAAATAACTAAATGTGTTTTACATTTGTACTACATCTGCAAACCTAAAAATTCAACTGAAGCCATATATGTGTGAAACCCGCAATTACGTAGTTGCCGATCCAATATATATATATATATATATATATATATATATATATATATATATATATATATATATATAATGTGTATAACTGTTATATTTATAATTTTTATGGCAACTGCACATTCACTAGCAACAGTTAGAAACTATAATTTAAAAATACTCATTTAATAATGTATAAAATATATAAACTTTTAGAAATAGGTCTAGCCAAAGATGCAAGGCTGGAATCAACAAAATTATAATACTTTGTTAAGAGAAATTAAATAAGGTTTAAATAAATAGAAGGATAAAATAAGCTACTAGAAGTCTATGGATCTGTATACTTAATACTAAATAAATCAGCCTAACTTGGTCCTTGTGTTTCTTTGTTTTAAAACATCTAACAAATGGTATATAACATTATAGGAAGAAAGAAGAAGAAAAATTCCTTGAGAAAACCAACCAGATAGTATAATTTGTCCTACCAAATAAGATGAAGTTTTAGTAGTACCTAAGATTAGCATTTGAAGTAGAGCTACATAATAGAGCCTAAGAAAACCCATATATGTATTTGGAAATATAATTTATAAAGTTGTTGATCATGTATTGGAGAACATTGATAAGAGTGTGGATTTCATAATAAATGAGGTTTAAATACATTATCCAAATTAAAATTTAATGCTTACCTATACCAAACATCCTTGTCCATGTCTGAAGCTTTCATTAAAAGACCCACCAAACTCTATCATTGATCTTCTCTCCTTCATTACTCCTTTAGGTCATTAGATGTTCATTATGTTGGTGGACAGGGAGATTTTCTCCTGAAATTGACAAATCAATAGCATTTAATATTCTAAAACTCTATTGCCTTTGCCATTAATTTACAATGTTCCTTTGAAACACACACACACACACACACACACACACACACACACAACCTTCATTTTTTTTCTGGACCTGCCTTAAAGCCATGCTTAGAGGGAGAAAGAAAACCATCCAGTATTCTATGCCTAAAGCATGGGGGGGGTCTACAATTAAAAAAAAAATCCTTGGAAAGACAACATATTAATTATTATAGACCCACAAAAAATTGGAGACATAAGCACACTTTGGAACCTGATTATAATTTCCCATTTTTGAGGCATTAGGTTCTTGTTGGGGGGAGAGAGGGGGATGCATGGGCAGAGGAATAGGCAACAACATATGCATTCAAATAATATTAAAAAGTAAAGATTGCAGCAATATAATGTAATGAGAAAATCGCCAAGATTTTGAGTATTGGTTGCTGGTAGACTCATCCCATTAGTGATAAAAATGAGATCAAGGGTGGTCATGAAGGGAACTAGGTTTAATGGTAAAGGTGATGCAATCAGAAATAGCCAACAAGTCTTTAGAAAGGTAAGATTAAAACCCAGGGTCAAAACTGAGCTTCAACATGAAAATCCATATCTATTTACATGATTATGATCAGTAAATACTGGTTAATTCCAGGAATATATATGGGCCTGATTGAATTTGTTGAACTAACAAACCCTATCTTTTATGGGATCTAGTCTTGTTAACAGTGAGAATTATTTACCTAGACTAAATCTGACAGCAGTTCTCCATCTGTTAAAAAGAAAGAAATAAAGAAAGAATTAAAGAATTAACCCAGCTGGCATGGCTCAGTGGTTGAGCATCAATTTATGAACCAGGAGGTTCCATTTCAGGTCAAAGCACATGCCTGGCTTGTAGGCTCAATCCCCAGTGTGGGGTATGCAGGAGGCAGCCAATCAATAATTCTCTAACATCATTAATGTTTCTATATCTTCTTCCCCCGCTCCCTTCCACTATAAATAAATAAATAAATAAACAAACAAACAAATAAATAAATAAAAAGAAAATAAAAAATCCAAAGAAAAATGCAGCTTGATTGGCTGATACAAAAGTGATACTAGACAAGACACAAAGACTTTTTAACTTCATTCATGATGGTAATCATGAGTAATAGTGCTCATTGTATTTAAACATTATGATGTCCTTGTTTATTATAATTCCATCAAAACCTAACTCTGAATATTACTAACATGTTACTGCTTGAAGATAAGTTAAACTGAATGCCAATGGAAATAAATAAAGAACACTAATTTGAAATATATATATTTGCATTCCTTCTTAATACAGCCTAAATGTTTTTATCTTTTTGCAATTTATCTTATTAATAGAGAAGATATACATTGAGTGGCCAGATTATTATGATCTCTGAATGCATAATAATCTGGCCTCAGTGTATATGTAATGGAATATTGCACAGCAAAAAAAAAAAAAATTCATATTTGGGACAACATGGATGGATCTAGAGGGCATTATGCTAAGTGAAATATGTCAAGCAGAGATAGGCAAATGCCATGAGGTTTCACCTACATATAAACTCTAAAAAAAGGAAACAAATGAAAAAAAAACATACAAAAAACAAAGCAAACTCATAGAAACAGAGGCCAAAGGGATGATTACCAGAACGGAAAGGGTAAAGGACAGGTGAAAAGGTGAAGGAGATTGTAGTTAAAGACATTGACAAGTTTGCAAGGTGGGATGATCGCTTGGCAAGGTATAAATCACTATACTGTACACCTAAAACTAATATAATCAGCATAATATTGTATACCAACTATACTTAAATAAGAAATAAAGAAAATGAAAGGCTAAACAATAGAATTTTCATCTATATAATTACAAAAAAAAATCACAGAAAAGCAGGGAGAGTAGAACCTACAGGTGTGGGAGCAGGGAGAGAATATTTTGAAGGAGAATCTCAGGACAAGGCACTGGCAAATGTATTAAGAAAGAGAATTATGCCCAGCAGTATGGCTCAGTGGATCGAGCATGTCCAATGCACACCAAGAGGCTCCATCTCCAACAGGGACATGCAGGCGATAGATGAGTAATGTTTCTCTCTCATCGGTGTTACTTCCTCTCTCTCCCCTCCTCTTTCTAAAATCAATAAAGACATATTTTTAAAAAGAAAGAGAATGATGAAATTCTTCTAAGGTACTTATATGTGGGTGTAGGTTTTAATTATGCCATTATATGCACAGGTTTGTACTTACATAAATATACATCATATGTGGAGACAATTATTTTAATGGGGGTATTTAGAAAACACCTCCAGCAGAGTCCAAAGTAAATTGTGTGGTGCATTACACTTACCAGGGCATGTTATTTTAGCTAATGCATTTACCTTTATGGTAATTATCAACCACTTATGTTTTATGGGTAAAGCCCTATGGCATAATGCTCAGTCGACTTTGCATAACTATGATGATTTGCACTCCTTCTTAATACAGCCTAAATGTTTTTATCTTTTTGCAATTTATCTTATTCTCTAGTGGCGGTTCAAAATATTGGGCCTGCGTCCAAGATATTGTTGCAGAATATGAGTTCTCCAATAGTACTAATAAAATGTGCACTTTCTTGATTTATTTTTTTTTCTGCTCTCTTGCTTCAATAGCTGAACATTTCTTCAGCTAGGATTTAGTTAATTAAAAAGCCTGTAGCAGGGCACAGGATATGCCCACAAGAAAACCTCAAACAGTGCAGATGGCCCCACCTCTGCACTCAGAAGCAGAAAAGCAGTGTGTGAAACAGCTGTGGGCTGGGAGGCTCTGGGTGGGCTCTGCCTTCTGGCATGCAATAAGAAGAGTGAATCTGATTGAACCTCTGGTGCTCAGATCAATTAATGCCATGCTAAACAGCTTTCCAGATGCAGGAGTGTTCAGAATTTCCTCTTTGCAGCCATAATTTTTTGCTGAAGTCATGTGCCACCTGGAATGATGCATGTGCTACATATTGCCCAGAAAGCTGTGGTTCTGTGAATGTGGCTACAGCGGATGCACAAATTGGAGGAAGAAGAGGCAATGGTCCCTATGTGTTTTCTAAGAGCCCCCACTTGATCTCTATAGAGAAACCTTAAGATGTGGGGTTGCACCTTTACTCCTTTTTCCTTCCAGGTCCTCATATACCAGAATTTTGGGAGAGTCTAGCATTCTATAGCTTAATTGCAATCAGCTTTTACCTTATATTGTAGAAGCAATAAATATCGACCCACTGGAAATGCATTCCAAAGTACTCCCCTGTCCTCAATTGCAAACACAAAGAATCGAATTACTAAGGGGCACAGAATTCAGCTTCTCCTCCTCTTCCTCCTCTTTTTCTTTCTTTTTTCTTTCTTTCTTTCTCTCTTTCTTTCTTTTCTTTTCCTTTTTTCTTTTTTATTTATTTTTTAGCATAAGGAATCTAGCTGTAAAAGCAAACTGAAAATCAAATCAATAACCCCATGATAGTCTCAAGGGCCTGTTAGAGGAAAAGATATCTCAACCCAAGAAATACAAAACTGGTTGAGGTACAGTCTCCACACACCAGTGATTGAACCAACTGTTTGGATATCACTTTGAAATTAGACATAATTCAGAGAAGATTGTTCTTATGATTATTTTATCTTTGTATAGGTAAGTTACCACTCTACCCTACAAATCAGCCAATGAACAATCAGAACATTAACAAAGAAAAAAATGAGATGAAATAGTCCCAACAGCTATTTCCAATCAATTTCCTTCTATGCTTGTCTTCAACACTCTATGTAATTTAGATAGATTTCTGTTACCCTTGTTATGCATTGGTGAAGAGTGAGAGTTTGTTTGAACTGAAGAATTCAGGGTAATGTGAAGCTTTTATCTCACAGAGCATTGTTTGCATAATAAATAATTAAGAAATTAATAACAACTAAATGACTGGTTTTACAGGGAAAAATGTATTTGTATCTAAAAGAGAATCATCTTCTACTGAGAGAGCTTATTATACTTCATTTATAAGCCAACAATGTAGTTACAGTATTTATCTATCACTGTAATAAGAAAACAACAGCAGCTTTTGTCCCTAATTACAATTATGGTGTTTTTTATTCAAGAACTAAACACAGATTTTTATTTTTAAAATGCCTTCATTTTTGCTGCTTAAATTAGGAATGAATTGATATACAAGTCACTGTGTCAAGACTCAGAGTAGAAATGCAATCAGGGTTTAGGTAACAAATGAGCAAGAACACATGATCATTATAGCTGTTAGTAGAAAACCCTTCAATAAAGCCCTTATTCTCATTTCATTTATGTGTCTACATTACAACTTTGCATCTAAGAGACTTAAATAGCAGGTGAAAAACCCATGAGCCATCTATACTAATAAAATTGTAAAATGTTAATTAGTCCAGACATCTTCTGGATATCCTTCCGGACAAAGCCATAATGGCTGAGGCAGAGGTGGTTAGGGGCAACCAGGCCGGCAAGGGAGGGCAGTTAGGGGCAACCAGGCTGGCAGAGGTGAGCAGTTAGGGGTGACAAGGCTGGCAGGCAGAGTGGTTAGGGCCAAACAGGCAGACATGCAAAGTGGTTAGGGACAATCAGACAGGCAGGCAGGTGAGAGGTTAGGAGCCAGTAGTACTTGATTGTGAGAGGGATGTCCAAGGGGTCCCGGAATGAAGAGGGTGCAGGTCAAGCTAAGGGACCCCTCTCCTATGCACAAATTTTGTGCACTGGGTCTCTAGTGTTAATATAAACAAATTAATTAAATAATGTCCAGGAAGTGGTCTTTACATTGGAAACTACCCAGGCAATGCCTCTATAAAATTTATCATTTATCTTGAGTCAAACAAAAATTAGTTGAGCAAAAAGATTACACTATAATTTTTTTTCAGATGTACAACTAGTTTTAAAAAGATGTTGCATAAAATTCCAATGGGTTGGCAAGCAACAATTTTCCAAGTGATGTTCTTTACCACTTGTAACAGATG